TATCCCAGCGGAGCTCTGGTACTTCAGAGTCCTTGCGAGAAGCACTGCAGCCCAACCGTGTGGGTTCGAGCTACTTGAAGATGGAGAATTACTCGATATAGTGAAAGGTCACAAACTTGTGACGGTGTTTTTTCACTTGTTTGCAAGCCTGTGTAAATGTTGTTTTGCTTGTGTTGCACCCTGAAGCTTGGTTCCGCAGGATTTCCTCAGTGGTATGAGCAAGCCGCAACTCAAAATTATAACACCTTCCCCAGTATGTGTGTGTGTGACAGCTGCATCATACAACGGCTCACCTTTTTGCTCTGAGAGCAGTGAGAAATGCCTTGTGCTGACACGTGTGTGTGTGTGTGTGTGTGTGTGTGTGTGTACTTGTGTGCTCATGTACGTATATGTGTGTTTATTTATTGTGCATAAGTTTTCATGAGCATAACTAATTTAAGATAAGGTTTTTGTTGCAGGGGGTTCCCCTAGTAGAGAAAACGGAAAGGAACCAGTGTTTTATCAGTAACCTTCTTTGTTTTTTCTTTATTGTTTAATTGTGGTGCTTGCTAAACCGTAAGGTTAGATATCTAAACAAGCCCCAGAGTTTCCTAACTTTGCCATGTAACCTGTCCCGTACCATTTGTTCTATAAACTTATATAATACCTAAAATCATGCAGCCTGTTGGAAGTGTGCTGTTATTTTTCTCAGCAATGAGACTTGCGATTTTCCCCTGCCACATTGACAGAGGAACTCTTGCAGTATCTGGACTCTTTTGACTTCAAGCACATTTTAGCAACCGCATAAAATTTGCTAAAAACCATACATTACACCCTAACACCCTGGCATTTGAGGTGCAAGTGTTGCATGGGCAAACACTACTCTTATTTTCCTGCTAAAATGTAATAATTAGTTTAGTCGGTCATACAATCACCATCAGTCTTTCTTTCTTCACAAAATTATATGCATATTTGATTTTTCAAACATAATGTTGTCAATATAATGAAATATTCTAATACTTTTATATTCAATTTATTTTTAATACTTTAGTTTTATACAATAATATAAAACTATATATATATTAATATTTAATTTATCCTAAATAAACTGCAAAAAAAAAAGATTTTCTTGTTGACTGTAATATCCTCTTGCAGCCCCCAGTTTGAATAACATTATCAAGTTTCAGCATTATCAAGCAGTACTTTATGAGTTCTCTGTGGTTAGAGAGTCTGACTGTGAGGAACCGCAGTCTGAGGACACTTTCCAGGTCCCTTGTGAAGCGACTGAGATCAGAGCTGGGAATTAGCCCCTCTCATCGCTTACAGGGTGAAAGGTCAAACTCTGACTCTCATTGCAGATAAAGAAGTCTTTCATGTATTGGCCCCACAGACCAAAACACACAAACGCACTCCGACTCACTTTGAACTCACATCTGTGCTGCTAACGGCCGGCTGAGGAAACCTTTCCTGTCAACACATCCTCTCCATTTCCGCTCAATATTTTATTGTGAAAGAAGTGATGAAGCTTGTGACAGGGATTGTTTTGTCATGCCCAGCAGCTTGGATTGTGTATAAGAGTATTGGAACTACTGCGTTCTGACCTTTTCTGTCACTCTAGATGTTAGAACAAACAAAAAGTGACGGTGAGTTTGTAGTCCTAGATGTCTTTCTCAGTTGTTTTGTTATGAAAGGAGAACACTGAAGTTAACAGAGTGAATGGCTTTTGTTTCTTAAGACACTTTTCACTGTCTTTAAGTCATTCATTTGTACGGGAGCTGGGTAGAGTTCCGATCGTATGCATATACAGAATTTTCAGGATCAACTTGAACTTTGACTTGAACTTTTGAACTTTTCGCTAGATTGTTTGCGACCACCAATCAAAACTGATGCCCATAACCACACAATTATGTGGCTTTTTTTTTTTTTTTTGGCAAAAATCTAGTTTTACTATTACAGATGTGTTTGTTGTTGTTTTGTTCAATTTTCTTAAAGGGATAGTTCACCCAAAAATGAAAATTAGCCCATGAATTAATCAACCTCAAGCCATCCTAGGCGTATATGACTTTCTTCTTTCAGATGAATCCAATCGGAGTTATATAAAAAATTGTCTTTGATCTTCCAAGCTGTTTAATGGCAGTCTCTTGGCTTATATCGAAATCCTCCGACATTCTCCTTTACAAATCCTCGTTTTGTACTTCTAATTCATGACCGTTGTTTTGTTTTGATCTCTCCCCTGCACTTCCGCGTTCGTCACTTCTGAGCGGCACATGCGCAACGCCGAAGTCCTACGTCATCCGCCCAGAGCTGCTTCCGTTTACAACAATGAGCGCAAGCTAGATTAAATTGATTATTACGTTTTAAATGATTATTTTTCTTACAAAAACACATCAGTTCGCTACAGAAGGCCTTTGTTCACCCCCCGGAGCCGTGTGAGGCACTTTTTTTTAATGGATGGATGCGCTTTATTTCACTTCTTTTGGACTGATGAACTGCAATACCGTTCGTGCATGGGACGGACATTAGCCTAGCCGAGCCGCGCGACAGAAAGATAGAGATGGCGGATAAAAAACAAAAGAGGAAAACGTCTGCTGAACGATAAGGCAAGAAGTCACCCTGCCTTTAATAGGCTGCTTTCTCCAAGAGGCCTAGAATTCATGTCAAGTCTCGACTTGAAGGAAAAACTTGGACTATTTGTTGCTTTTTATTGCAAGGAAAGTGGCAAGGAAGTAAGAACTTGTCATTCGAGTTGGTCAAACTCACACAAGGTTGTCTCTGAGCATGCTGTGCACTTTGACCTGAAAAGAGGAAATGAGGAAGTTTGCAGGCTTCCCTGATCAGGGAGTCAGTTTGTGTCAGCAGTCATGTGGGGATGTGTGAGCGTGAGTGTGTACAGTCTGGATGTGTATATATAGAATTCTGTTTTAAGCCCTTGGTTGTTTTTTAATCGAAGGCAGAGATAATAATAGCATGTTTTAAAATGATCCTGACCCATATGACAATTCTTTGGCTGCAGTAAATCCATTCATGCAGCCATTCATTCATACACACACACACACACAAACTTGTGCCATCTCGCTCCCAGGCATCTGTTCTCTCACTGTTTGTTTCAACATGGCTTTTTATTATTATAAAGGGAAAAATTCACTTAACCTTCAGATGCGGCTAAAATATCCATGTTGACTAAACAGCTAAAAGGGAGACTTGTTAGTGAGAGAAGACAGTGAGTGCTGCTGGATGACACACTCAAGCACAGAGACACTTCAGCAGGTGTTTCCCTGCAGGTGAAGATACTTTAGGTCTGTAAGCGACATCGGCATCAGCGGTTTGTGAACGAGAACACATAATCAGGCTCTGTCAGGCTGCGGAAAGGGGCTCTGCCCAGCCGTGTATGTGGATGTCATGCAATGCGTTGTTCAGGGGAAACCTAGCTATGGTTGAGGTGAGGTTTGTTTATTCTGTCCTGGCTGCTCTTTAAAAGCTTAAAGGGGGCATAACACACAAAGTTTCACCCAATCTCATGTTAATCTTGAGTACCTAATACCTATAGAGTAGTACTGCATCCTTCATATCTCCAAAAAGTCTTTAGTTTGATCATATTTATAAAAGAAAGATACAGCTTTACGATTCTCTCCGGAAAAAGCCGAGTAGTGTAAACAACTCTGAATGCATGAAACAGTATTGTACCCCCCCTTTAAGGGTTCCCATTATGGTCCTGAAACCTAGCAATATCAGGAAATTTCTAAAGTGTGATTTCCATGCTTGAAAAAGAAATTGCCAATATCTTAAAAAGTCATGGAAATTGTTATTGTAGTTTATGATTAGTTTTGAATTGTTTGATAAGCAAGAAATTACTAGTTGTGAGTCTAATCTTGATAAATGGATTTGTACAAATCCTGGAAAAATAATGGAAATTTACTGAGAAGAAAGTGTGGGAAGTTTGGAGGCTTGAAATTCCCCCTTCATTTGCTTAAATATAGGGGTGAGTGAGTAGGTGACACAATAATCACAGGCCACAGATTATTTGACAGGCTAACTGGTAAAGGCTTTGTGTTCGAAATTATTGAGAAAAATTATTAGGAATAATAATCTTTAATCAAGATTTGTTTCTGTCATAAAATTACAGAATTATGTAGCAGACAGAGCATGTCATTGAAATTCTGTTGTAGTTTGTTGGGCTGTTAAATTGGTACAGTTAATTATGTAAAATATTGTAAATATTGATGTGCACTACTGTTCACAATTTGGGGTCAGTAAGATATTTTAAATTTTTGAAAAATTTATATTTTTATTCAGCAAGGATACATTGAATTAATCAAAAGTGACCGTTAAGATATTTACAGTTAGTAAAGAAATCTATTTGAAATAAATGCTGTTCTTTTGAACTTTCTAGTCATTAAAAGAAAAATAAAATGTTTACACAAAAATATTGAGCAGTACAAGCGTTTTCAACATTGATAATAATAAACACTTTCCTTTTTGAACATCAAATCAGCATATTATAATGATTTCTGAAAGATCATGTGACTCAAGACTGGCGTAATGACTGATGAAAATTCAGTTTGGTCAGAAATAAAAATTACATTTGAAAATATATTAAATTGTTTTAAATTGTACAAATATCTCACAATTTTTACTGCAACGTCATTAATTAAAAATAAATGCAGCCTTGGTTAGCATACTAGACTTCTTTCAGAAACCTAAAAATAATCTTACCCACGCTAAACTGTTAAATGGTTGTGTATGTGATTCATTGCAATTAATTTGATGAGTTAACCAGCATATGTAATACAATTATTTAGTATATTTAGCAAATATCAAAAAGTTTTTACTGTAATATTGTAAGAAGCCCATTTGTCTGTTTTTCTGTCTCTTTTATAAATTACTTTGATGTTGATACATGTAATATGTAATTTATTTGTGATCCACCCCCAATTAAAAATGTTTCAATCGATTGACTACCCTAGTATTTTGCTGTTACACCAGTTTTGATTTTACGTTCTGGTCTCTCTTTTCTTTCACAGAATTCATCTCAAGACCATCTTCATCTTCATCACCAGATTTTTCCAGGGGGGTTTGGATATCAGAAAAGACACCTGTCGGATGACATGCACCCTGAGCAGACAATGATCTGAAGGCCCTACCAGGAGGCCACATACTTTCTTTCTTCCTTCCCTCCTTCCTTTTTTTTTATCAGTGGAGGAAGACGGGTGAGCCCAGCTGCCTCAGACAGGTGGCATACGGAGAGAGAGAGAGAGACTCTCTCACACACACACATCTTCATCCACAGAGGCGACTAGTCACTGTTTGTGCTCCTGTAACTGCCTCGAGAAAATTTTACCTCTGACCTCACCACACCCCCAACCTTGCCCCTACCCCTGCTCGGCCAATCACAGCAGCCATGGGGAGGAAAAAGATCCAGATTCAGCGAATCACAGACGAGCGTAACAGACAGGTGAGTGCAAAGCCTGACTGTCTGCAGTGGCAGTGTTTTTAGTTCAAGCTAAGGGACTTCTAAATGCGTAACTGAAAATAATTCATTTTGGCAGCTTTCTCTGAATAAAACACACCGAGTATACTTAGGAGAGCCTGAAAGATATTATTGGCATTTTAATAGAAATCTGTCTTATTAGTTCTGACTTTTGTGAGTTGCCTTAAGTTGCATCTGTGATTTAGACATCTTGTACAAGACAAACAGTGTGAGGCAAAATCAAATCTAACTCCTCCAATGCAAGGTTTCTGTTGTAAGTAATTTTTCCTATCCCGGTTTAATAAGGGAGAGCCTGAAAGATATTATTGGCATTTTAATAGAAATATTTCTTATTAGTTCTGACTTTTGTGAGTTGCCTTAAAGTTGCATCTGTGATTTAGACATCTTGTACAAGACAAACAGTGTGAGGCAAAATCAAATCTAACTCCTCCAATGCAAGGTTTCTGTTGTAAGTAATTTTTCCTATCCCGGTTTAATAAGCAGAGACAACTACAAGTTAACTACTCATAGGTTGTCTTCCCTTAGGGTGTAAACACCAGTGCTTTCAAAGCATTGCTGTTTGTTTGAGTGGTGAGGTTTTTCAGTTTCTGGCTCAACTGATGCAGCAGGATTTTGTTTAGTTTTCATTCATTTTTACATATAACAGTTACCTTTAGTTTCTTTGAGTTTTATTATTAGTTTTATTCAGAATATTGGTACCATATTGGTTATTGGCAGATTTTTTTAAAATTAATAATCAGTATATTTTACAGACTGTATTGGATACATAATTATAATGTAATTTTTTAGAAAATCAAATATCTGTTTTTATATAGTACGTTATGATGTTATGATACCTAAGTTCACTTGTAACATTTAAACCTAATTGATAATCTTTATTTTTTATTTATTTAGACAAAATAGAAATGTAATAGTGGCCAGTGATATTCGTTTTTAGCCATAACAAAACAATTATCATCTGCAAAACTTTTAATGTTGTGCATCACGAGTTTGTTTTAGTCTATGGATACAGAGTTTTACTTGTTTTAGTTGAAGTATTTTAGTATTTTAGGGCTGCCAAAGGTAATATGTTAATACCTAATGTAAATATAATATGTTTAACTGCATTAAATTTCTCAGGGCTATCTATTTTCATCCTGTGGCATTTCATGTTTTTGAATTGTAATTGAAATAAAATGCAATTTAGGGTTTTACAATTTACATTTACCATTTACAATTTAATGTTCACACTTGTAGTTCAGTTCTCTGGGTTCGTTTGGTCTGGACCAAAAAAAACACACGATACATTAGGTCCTGGTCTGCTTAGCGTTCACACTGGCATTTTTGACAGCGACCCTAAAGATACTGAACCTAAAGGCATAGTCATACGTTAACAACCTGATTGGTCGAGTTGAATGACGTATATTTCATGACGTAACTTACCAAACACCCCAATTAATAGGTGTGTTCGACGTAAAGCGGCGCTGTGCAGACCGACCGGTATATGACATCAAAGTACTCATTCACCTATCGGTCTGCGTGCTCAGCGCCACTTTAAGTCGAATACACCTAATGCGTGTACATATGATTTTATTTTTTACCACCGGCGAACTTAAGAATAGCTCATAAAAGGCACTTTACCTCCTCGTTGCTCCACGTTTGCCCTCTGCTCATTTTGTTTTGGATACACCGCTCGTTCCGCGTCATCACATAGCGATGCTTCTTGTCATTACATTCTGTTTTTGGTCCGTTTAGAAGTATTTGGTCTGAATTGCGTTCATATTTCATTCGAGCCATGCCAGAGTTCATTTGGAAGCGGAAGGAGACCCATAATTTTAGTGCTTGTTTGGTGCGTATCAGGGTTCGGTTGCAGCGTTCACACTTACTCAAATGAACCACACTAACAGGCCAATCATACTAGAGTTCATTTTAAGTGTGAAAGCACCCTTAATTTATCATAACCTAAAATTAGTATGTGGTATGAAATTCTTCATATAGAGTCATGAAAATTTAAGTTTAGTTTAGTTTCAGTTTTGCAAATATATGTATATATTAATTATTTTGATGTACTTTGCATTTTAGTTTTCGATAACTATACAAACACTGCAGTGTTTGAGTTTGTTTTAGATGAGTGTTCATTTTTGCTGTTTTGTTATATCCACCTAAGTGGTGTTCACCTAAGCTTCATTTCTGTTCTTTCTGCTCCCCATGCTCCCACAGGTAAGCCTGTCATATAAAACCCATTAAATCACAAACTTCATAACAGTATCCTGTTGAAAGCTTAAAGTAATTCATTGTGTTTAGTTTGAAGTTAGAAGTTCTACTCACTAGTGTGTAATCTTTCCCTCCATGTTGGTGAGAATGTGTGGGAAATGTTTTTCTGGTCACAGTTGTGCTGATAGGTGTAGTCACTATGACCGGAGCAGGTGTGCATACTCAACCTTAGCCTGCTTCACTGTGTCAGCGCTCAGGTGTGCCTGACTAATCATATTTTTAACAAAGTTACAAAAAAAAGTCTTGTAGTTTGTCTGACCCAGATTAGGCCTCATTTTGTACTAAATATCACTTTTAATTGAGATTTCTTCCGGAAAATGATTCTGCTTTGCACATCTTGTCCTTCCGACCTTCCTGTGGTGTAACAGGTATTTGGGCAATTAAAGAATTAAAGAGTGCGAGAAGAGGACATGAACTACAGTCTTTGCTGCAATAAAATGTGCCTTTTAATTACCAAACTCCAGCATCGAGGCAAATATATAGGAGAGGTGTAGAAGAACAGAGGTATCCAGAACTGACAGACGGCAGCAGGTGAGAGAGCGAGCTAGAGTCCGCGTGTGCGGTAAAGGTCAGGAGGTAAGCATTCGAGAGAGGAGCGGAAAGAAGTCAGGTCGCTGCCTCTCTACATTCTTCACAATGATAAAGTTGTGTTCTCCTGTTGCCATTGGTTACCTGCGGTTTCTATTTTCGATGGCAATTATGTTGCTGGTGTTTATCCTGGTGCTTGTGTGGAGAGAAGGAACATCAGCTCTCTGATTGTCGAGGTGGAGGAGATTCTTTCACCTAATGGAAAAGCGCTTTTATTTACAGAGATGAAATCACTGTCTGCTAACACTGTCGAGCTTTTAAGGTTAAGGAGTCCTGGGTTTGAGCAGAAAAACTTTCTGTCTAGAGGTGGCACTTTTGCTAGCAGAGGGCAAGAAAGCGGTAGAAAACTGGTCAGTTCTGAGAGAGAAAAATCAGCTCTTGGGTGGCTAATCCTGAGTCATCCTCTGTGAACTGCAAAAATTCCTATAGGAGTAATTCACGAAACACTTTAAAAATCCTGTCTTTATTTTTTCAGCCTCTTTTGGTTCCAGACCTTTGACTTTCTTGTCTTCTGTTGAGTTACAAAAGAAGATGTTTTGAAGAATGTTGGTTCATTTTCACCTTGCTATCACAATGAATAGGGACTGGAGCATTCAAGCTTTGAAAACAACACAAAAGCACCATGTAAATGTCATACATACAAGTAGTCCAAAGTTATCTAACATTCATAAAATAAGACAACTTTACCTAAGAAGCTAAATTGCATTAGATATTGTTCTCAGTTTTCATCTCTTCACTCATCCCTGCCTAACCCAGTCTTTCTCTTTTTTATATTTAATGACATTTAATGTTAAACGTCATTTTTAACGGCATGTTTAACAGCCAAATTTGCATTTATGTCTTCCCAGACAGTGAAATGTTAATAATTAAGTGAACTCTAAACAAGTCTGAATTGTGGATATGGTTTATCTGACTTGTTGATTTGTTCATGAAGTGTATTCTCAGCTAGGGCACATCAAGATTGTCAGTGAATAATGTCTTAAATTTCAGTATATCCCTTTGAATATCTTATGTCTATCAAATTAGTTTAGAAGACCATGTTTATGATACCATAATGGTGCTGTTGCATCCTTTTTAAATCTCCAATTAGAATCTTGAAGCTCCAATCCTCATACGTGGTAATTTTATTTAAATTAAAAATGAAAATAGATTCTTCAAAATATCTTCTTTTGAGTTTCACAGAGGAAAGAACGTAATACAGGTTTGGAACAACATGACTATGTGTAATCGGTTGCTTTAGGTGAACTATAAGTTTAGTATCTTTTTTGTTTAACTGTAAACACAGATATAGTTTTCAGTTCTCACCCTTCTCAATCTTCATATTTTTCTCCCCGTCTAACCTAATTTTTCTGTCTCTATCCACAGGTGACCTTCACCAAACGGAAGTTTGGTCTGATGAAGAAAGCTTATGAGCTCAGTGTGTTGTGTGACTGCGAGATTGCCCTCATTATTTTCAATCACTCAAACAAGCTCTTCCAGTATGCCAGCACTGACATGGACAAAGTGCTCCTCAAATACACAGAGTACAATGAGCCGCACGAAAGCAGGACCAACGCAGACATCATCGAGGTAACACAGACATACAAGCCCACCATGAATCCTCCCAATTTCAGGTGTCAGGAAATTGTTTTGTTTGTTTGTTGGTCTCATTTGTCCTTTATTTGTTTGCTCCTTCTCTTCATTCCTTCCTTCCTGTCTTTGGTGAAACGTGTTAATTTGGTTGCAGTAGTTCAGTCAATAGCCCTATTTGGTCGGGACTAGTTTTCCATGAGGAGGCCAGGCAAATTTGTGTGTTTTTCCTCACAGAAACCTTGTTAAAATCACAGAACAAATTACCTACTGTTTTCCGGCTAACACACAAGTCCTCTGAGAAAGATCCCGTCCAAATAGGAATGCCTGTAATTGCGATTACTTTTTTTCATGAAGTTTCTACTCGTTTATTTTGACCTTTATCGAATACTGTAACCAAAGCTAAATTTGTCACTTCATTACGTAGTGAACCTTCATTATGGATTAAGACCCTGATAATACCATGCTAATTTGATTTAATTTACATGGTACTTCTAAGAATATTATAGTATTACCTTGTTACCATGTCCAGAATATCTTGGTTATACATAGTGTCATAGTGACAATGTAAATCCACAACATTGCAATTTCTTCAAGAAATGGCAAGGCTTTTGCATAGCTAAACATTCACCCATAGGGAGGCCGGGCGCATGTGTGAGAGAAAGAGT